TAGCTATCTTCCATGCATTCCATTTATATATTTGATGAGATTATCTTGGAAACTAAACAAAACATTTTATATAGGTGTTTTAAAGGCATTATAGTCTAATATAATATCAGCATTGATTCATAGTATCAATGTTGTAGACTTAAGTTACATTTCTCTGGAAATAGTTATAGGTTTACTCAGTCACTGTTATATTTGTATGGTCATTGGGCATTATTCAAGGGCTGTAACACTGAAGAAGGGAACAGTGGGCTGGCTGGCCCACAGAGAAAGATGGCGATAGTGGATTTAACAGTCTATGGAGAAAGAGCTAGACATTTCCATGCTGCAGATTTGCCTGCTAAAAAGTTGTAACACTTGACCATGCTGGCAGAGGCCTGAGTGTACCCCATGCAGCAAGTCCCCTTCCTTTGCACTAGGCAGCATGACAGGAGAAGTGCAGGCTCAGGAAGTGTGGTGACAATAGAGAGAACTACACAGGCCTGCATGATGCAACAGGTGACAGCCACAGAAGCCTAGAATTGCCCAGCAGCAGAGGCTTGGGAGATGCTATGCAACTGTCTTGCCATTAGAAAAGTTCTCCCCAAACTCAAGTCCTTTATTTCCAAATATTCAGAACCTGGTAATATTCATTTTATGAGTTAATTTAAAACTCCCTTTTATCTTTCTGACTACCCAGACTTTTCTTATCTGGGTATTTTCTGAAGTCCAAAGAGAGCAAAGCATAATTTTAATGAATAGTCAATTGAATCCATTCTTAAGGAAAATAATTCTTAGATTATGTCAGAAAATCACAGGTAAACACATGTAGTTCACATAAAGTACAAAATAAATAGATAAATAGAAGACAGCATCATCAGGCAAAATCATACATAAAGAAAGTATTTTTATACCATTAATTAAGCATTTGACAGCTAGCCAAAAGGTTGGTGATTGAAACTCATCTGTAGGTACCTCAGAATACAGGTCTGGTGATCAGCATTCAAAAGGTCAGAACCTTGAAAACTCTATGGAGCATTCTACTCTGCACAAAGGGAGATGTCATGAGTAAATATCAAATCAACAGCCACTAACAATAACAAGTTGAATACCACAAAGTAGAATAGAGAAAAACAAACACCATGAATATTGTAATTATGTATTTATTTATAAGTATACCACCTCATAGCACCTAACAGAATGTGAGACTCTTTATAGCATCCTGTCTGCCTTCCTTGTAGGTATATCTGTATTACACTGAATAGTATCTGAGAAAGTTGTGCTGAATAAATGACTGAATGGATGTCTTTAATAAAAGAACTAGGAATTAAAAAAGAAAAAGTTGGCATCCCAAAATACAAAAAAAAAAAAAAAAAAGCATCACTTTGAAGAGCGCATGAACTTTGCAACTTACCAAAAGAGAAAATATTTTTATCTTTAGTGTTTATGGTCTACTTGCACAAGAATACAAAAATAAAATTTTCATAAAGGGCAAAATAAATAAATAAAAGTGAATGGTGCATGCAAAATGCATGAGCAAAGTATGTTGTTGTTGTTAGGTGCTGTCAACTCATCTCTGACTCATAGCAACCTTATGTATAACAGAATGAAACACTGCCCGGACCTGTGCCATGCTCATGATCTTTTCTATCCCTGAGCCCATCATTGCACCCACTGTGTCAATCCATCTTGTTGAGGGCCTTCCCCTTCTTCTTTGACCCTCCACTTCAC